GACCTTGAATATGGGTGAAGGTCATGCATTTGAACAAACTTGGTAGCCCTTCATCTCAGTATGCTACTGGCCAAATATCATTACCCTGTGCATTTTGGTTATTCAGAAGATGTTTAATGTTTTTAACATATTTGACCCCTGTGACCTTGAATATAGGTGAAGGTCATTCATTTGAACAAACTTGATAGCCCTTTACCCCAGCATGCTACTGGCCAAATATCATCACCTTGGGCATTTTGGTTATTCAGAAGAAGTTGTTTAAAGTAAAATATGCCGGACGAACGTTCGGACGACGCGCCATGACATAAGCTCACTTGGCACTTCGTGCCAGGTGAGCTAATAAATTGTTGACGTACGATCCGGACGACGGACGCCACAGTATGGCATAAGCTCACCTTTTGTAATTTGTGAACCGTTTTGAGATGACCTATGGACTAGGTTGTGATAAAGTAGTATATAAGAACCTCAAATTATACTTGGAGGCATGGTGGTTTAGTGGTAGGACGCTGGCCTTGTGACCGAAGGGTTGCAGTTTCAAGTCAAGACTTGGCACTGTGTTGCATCTTTGAACAAGATACTTTTCTCCGTTTGTTTCAGTGTACTCAGCTGTAAATGAGTACATGGTTAGACAGTGCTAGAATTGTAAAATGGAGTTGAGTAAGATATTGGCCCTAAAAACATATATAAGGTCCCTTCTTTCTGCCCAAATGAATTGGGGTGGATTTTAAACATTAGACTCAATTTCCCCTATTAGGCCCCACCTCTATGCACCCTAAAAACAACCCTCCTTTTATACATTATATCCTTTTTATATCCTTTTATTTGGACAGAGATATTGAGATGTTAATATTTTCCCATTAGTTTATGCATTTTCTGTAACAGTTTGTTTTAATACCACTACAATTGTGTTTTGTAGACATGACACAAAATTAGGTCAAGGAAATTGAACAACACAAGACATAAATGACTGTAAACACGGTTGTTTACTTCACAAATTATGACAAGAATTTGTACATTATATTAAAACAAGAGACATAGCATTGTATATAAAACATAGTAGCACTACTTTCCAACCAAGGCTTATTATATATCAAATATGAATTTGCAGGAACATTTTTTCAACAAAGTAGTAAAAAATGCAAGTTGTTTATCACTTATTGATAACGTCTGTAGCTATGTGTATATATATTTTTTCTGTCATGATCTTGAAGTGTGACAACTACAATAATGATACTTTGTGTTTATAATGTAGTCAGCAGATATTTAAATGTATTGATAAGTTCTACAGATGACAATTATTCAAACTTTGATGAGTATTCTAATATAAAGAGTCAATAAGATTGACTCAATGGATGTCTGGATCTACTTTATGTCTGTGAATATGAAACATTCAAAATATTTTAAAACTTAATTCTTTATGTAATATTTCTTTGGAATTGTAATATTTTTTCAGATCCATAGCAATATAAAGTACAGAATGAAATCGTCAACATCTAAATATTAAAAAATTTCATAGAAAATGGCATCCTCTAAATTTAAGGCCTACCCTTTATGCACCTTTTGGCTGATCCCCTGATGTCCTGTGTTTATGCCAGTGATACAAGCAGACTAGTCTTTTTGATGATCAAAGGAACCCCCTAGTAACAGTTACTTCGACCGGCTTTATAGTCGGGTGTAACTCCTCTGTAATCCTCAAAGGACAGGTATCAGTTTAATGGCTGGTCAGGTTTATACATGAAATCAATCAAATAGCTTACCACAAGCTTTTGATTTTGTTATGACATATTCCAGGGGTACCGAGAAGTGTAAGAAAAGTAGAACCCTAGGATTTTCAGGCGGAGAAGATGGTTGATGTGACAGCCAGGTCTAGTCAAGAATTTCAGGAAATACCTTTTAAATGCTAATTTTCTAAGCGACATTTATATTGGCAGACACTAGCTCCAACATAGATGTTCGTGCTTTATCATAATGGTAAGATAAATGTACATGTGCGGTCACTAATTGAGAGAATAACTTGTGTCCATTTTCCTTATTACTGAGATGAAAACAATTTCAACCTTGTTTAAGGACTTCAAATGAAATAGCAAAACAAGTTTATACTGGATATGATTGATTTTAAGAATGAAATACATGCCCTATCAAACTGATTTCCAGCACACAAGTTACACATTTATTCAATCAAATAGAAATCAGAATATTTTGGCTGGTAAATATTTTCTTGATATAAAAAAGTAAAGAAGAAGCTTGATTCTGTTACATGAATATCAATGTAAATAATTATAATTAATACTTTGATATCACGATCTTTGTGCACATTGTTACTCCATGTAATTACAACATTTAAAAAAAATCCCTATGCAAACTCAAATCAAAAAAGGATAAGGACTGTCACAAAGCTAGGTTTATTATGTTTAAAAAAAAAACAAGAATTCTCAAGAATCAATCTAACTTGAACTTAACTTTTACAAAAAAAAAAAAAAATGAACAGTACATTACCAAATCAACCCCAAAACATTTAGCTAGATTACAACAATATAAGCAAATTAGTAGGTAAAGTCGCTCGTTCATTGGACAAAGGACAACAGACAAAAAGCTATGGGAAAATTTGGCTGGTAAGCGTAGAATTACTAACTGTACATAAGAATGACATTGTTATCTCACCATCAGGCACACGTGTAAAGTTTAAAACACTTATGTAGTGAAAAAGAACAGTTTTTGTTTTAAAGAATATTGCTACTTGTATTTTAATAAAGTGGAAAAATGCATTTCAATTAACAACATGTTATGAATAGATTGAAGATAATTACTAAATATTATTGTCACTTACAAAGGACTGTAAAGTAAGTTGATGGATATAATCCTCAGTCTAGTCCAAATTGGTAAAAATGAGCCAGGGTAAAATATGAACATACTGTAAATATGTAATAATTTCAAATCTTGTGTTTTCTAAAAGAAAAAAAAATGTTGAATTTTTTTGACAATTGAAACTAAATCAATATCTAAAGACTGCTTCCTGATATCAAGGACATCAGGTATTTGTTTCTGAAACTCATGAATTCTGCACCAAATAAATGTGCAAGTTGTTTAAAGAAATTATTTTATTCTTACAAGGGATCCTAGAAGGATCTTGGTGCCCACCATGACAGGATCTTTATCAGATCTACAAACAATGATCTTTTACCTTGTTTGCTCTTCCTTTTGCTTACAGGTACTTTTACCCAGTCCAATGGTGGAAATCTTGTACAATAACTTAAACCTCTGAATGTCATATGTTATTTGCCACTATGAAGCAAATAATATTTTATAAGAATTGCGTAACTTTATGCAAAATGATAAACAATTGTAATTCTTTTATAATTATAAGTTAATGACTTATGAATTCTACTTTGGACCAGGGGTATTTTTAACAAGGGGACCAAACATATCAAATAATGATACAGAAATTGAACTGTCAAAACTCAAGATGGCCGACTGGTGACAATCTTGGTTTTCAGATCAGTCCCAATAATCAATATGCATAACTACGGACCATGAGGAACCCTCATATGAAATTTGAAAAAGGTCTCTCAAGTACATTCCAGTAAATAGCACTAACAAATTTTAACTCTCAAAAATCAAGATGACCACCTGTCAGCCATCCTGGTTTCCTGATCAGTCCCAAATTTGATATGTGTAACTAGGGATCATTTAAAACTTGACTGAAATTTGAGAAAGATCCCTCCAATATTTTCTGACAAATAGCACTGAAAACTTCAACTCTCATTCAAAGGTTAATTGATTTTATATTGATTTCATACACATAAGTTATCATTTTAAAATGTGGCAGTAATCTGGAACTAAATATAGGCATAGAAGTGAAAATCGCTGAATTCATCTAATAATTGGACAGGATTAGACTGTGAGCAAATCCAGAGACAGCAATACGCTCAGACCTACTTAGTAGGTCTAACTTAACAAGAGGCTCAATGGGCCTAAATCGCTCACCTGCTATTAATCTTACGCTTGTAATCTTAAAAGTGGACTAAAATACAGCTACAGGCAAAATACCAGTGTTTGTTTCTAAATAATCTATTGAAAGATTTACACATGTGACCTTGAAAGTCAAACAAAGACATGAAGATGAACCTACATTATAGCCTTTCATACCAGCATGCTTCTGGCCAAATATCATTACCCTGGATTTTTAGATTTTTCAGAAGTTGTTTAAAGATTGCAATATACTTGATACCCGTGACCTTGCAAATGGGTGAAGGTCATTCATTTGAACAAACTTGGTTACCCTTCATCCCAGCATTTTAATGGCCTAATATCAACACCCTAGACATCTTGGTTATTCTGAAGTTGTTAAAAGGTTTAAAAGATATTTGACCCCTTTGACCTTGAATATAAGTCAAGGTCATTCATTTGAACAAAATTGATAGCCCTTTAAACTAGCACGTTACTTGACAAAAATCATCCCCATATGCCTCTTGGTTATTCACAAGAAGTTGTTTAAAGGTTTTAAACATATTTGACCCATGTGACCTTGAAAATAAGTCAAGGTCATTCATTTGAACAAACTTGGTAGCCCTACATCCCAGCATGTTACTGGCCAAATATCATCACCCTAGGCCTCTTGGTTATTTAGAAGAAGTTGTTTTGCACCCTTTGACCTTGAAAATGGATGAAGGTCATTCATTTGAACAAAACTTGGTAGCCCTTCATCCCAGGTTGTTACTGGCCAAATATCATCACCCTTGACCCTTTGGTTATTCAGAAGAAGTTGCTAAAAGATTTAAACATATTTGACCCCTGTGACCTTGAATATGGGTGAAGGTCATTCATTTGAACAAACTTGGTAGCACTTCATCCCACGATGTTACTGGCCAAATATCATCGCCCTTGACTTTTAGGTTATTCAGAAGAAGTTGCTAAAAGATTTAAACATATTTGACCCCATGTGACCTTGAATATATGTGAAGGTCATTCATTTGAACAACCATGGTAGCCCTTCATTCCAGCATGTTACTGGCCAAATATCATCACCCTAGGCCTTTTGGTTACTGAGAAGAAGTTGTTTAAAGTAAAAAGTTGATGCTTGACATACGGATGACGGAGACTGCGCCATGGCATAAGCTCACTTGCCCTTCGGGCTGGTGAGCTAAAAATCAGAATGACCACCTGTCACCGAATGTTTTTTTTTTTTAGATCAGCCCCTAAAGTTGATAGGCATAACAAGGAACAATTTAAGCGGAACCTTCATGTGAATTTTGAAAAAGATCCCACCAGTACTTTCTAAGAAATAACACTAACATGAATTGTTAAGGGAAGGAAAGACAGAATGACAAATGGAATGACAGACCACAAACAGGTGATTTGAATAGCCCACTATCTTATAATGGTTGGATAAAAACTTAAATTTGATAATTCAGCCATATGTGTCAGGCTGGGTGAAAAGTGATTTGATTCCCAGTAGCAAACCATTTGGTGGGCTAAAAATCTGCAATTGGCAATGAGGCTTATTTTCATAATCAGAAGAGCTTAGCTAAATTTGAGGTTGTGTTAAGCTAGAAATCATTCCTCAGTTCACCTCATCATGTCCGAGTCAGATAAAAAATAGTATGAAATTTAATACAAATATATAAAGATTTCATTATACAATACATTCTAGTTCTCAATAAGAGCTTTTAAATCAAAAGCTATAAAAAATGTTTTATGAAGACAAACATCAAAGATATTATCACATAACACATTAAATATTAAACAGTTTGGAGAAGATATTTTAAAAACAAAATTTCCATCAGAACTGAAATTGTTTACCAGCTTGTTTACATTGAACAATTCAGATTGAGTTGGTGAATAAATTTCAAAGATAAGAAATTGTTCTCAACACATGTGTGAAAGCGACACACTTTCTGGAATACCAAATTATATCATCACCTTTGAAATACTGTTACCAACAATTCTGAATTGCCTGAGTGTTAACTTGTAACCTGTAAGTTTTGTCATTGTTATCACAGGTACAAAAGTGCTTTTATGCTAATTTTAAACTACTCCCTATGTTTTAATACTTTTGTTACTTAAAATGAGTTCCCGCCAATTTTTGATTATTTTTCAGCTTCTTTATTTGTTGTCAATAAAAAACTGCTGAATATAGGAACTATGTGTCCGTTGTTTTGCTTCAACTGCCAGCTGAATGAGTTTAAAGCTGGACAAGAGGTATGTGTGGTTTCATAACAAATGGCAAAACATATCTTACTTTTACTTACTAGTGTACCACACTGTACTTATCACATAATAGCTTTTCTAAGTATTTAATGGAGGTTCCCAAAACATGTGGAAACTTATTACCAAACAAACAAATAGGATAAAAGTACATCACTCTGATTCACCTAACACACATTTTCAAATGAAACTTTTTTATTTATATTTTGTTTGAAGTTAAAGTGTCACAGAAAGCAAACCTTTAAATGATCCAATATTTGTTACTCTGATGTCCAACCAACACTACAAAATACACAAACGTACGGTTGTTAAAACATGTCTTTTTTTCCATAATATTTGCATTAAATACAAAATGTCAAAGATGTTTTTTTTAATGAAATTGTTAAGAATTTCTTCTGAATTTTTCCTTAATTCACCAATATCTATTTTGAAATCAACATGTAAATCTCAAGACCCATACTATATGGGGTATTTAAAACCCTTTACCACCCTGAAATATCATTTCATACCAAACCTTTTCTTTTGATCTCTACAAAAGTGACACTTGGGTGTGTTATCATACATGTGAGACCGTGGTCAGCAAAGAACATATAGCACTCAATCAAGTGTTGTTACCAGTAACCCAAACAAGTCGACAAAATACAACGCTTAACAATCAACAAATTACAATATTTCAATTTGCAAATATATATATATAATATTTATATGTTTTTTTTGTTTTCACAATTAAAAATGTCAAAAAATTCATTAAGATTGTTTTCATTGTAGGATCAAAACATGAGTTGATGAGACCAAAGCTTAAAACACCACGAGTAGAATGATAAAGGCATCGGTGAATTTGTGACTTGTGAAAAACCGGACAAACAATATATTGTCTTATGGTATACATAATGTACTACCAATAGACGAAGTCTTCTAATATAATATATACAGAAATGATTTAAAAGAATATTCATAATTCTTATAAGCTATTTACCACAACATCAAAACATTTATCTATTTTTCAAATAGTTCTAATCATAATGAGTCTATATCTATTAAAACAATTTAATGCCGAAATTGAATCCAAAATGAAGTTTACTGTTTTTATCAAAAAATTGAAATCTAACATCAACACTATAGAATAAATATGAACTATATATCACTATTTCAATACTGTACAGACAAATCTAGAAATTTAACATACAGCTTTGAAAACAAAAGTCATAAAATAACACAAAATATAAAGATGAATATTTTATATCTTTGTACACAGTAAAGATACCAACAGGGAGTTATAACTTCAATAATCCTGTTCTCTTGTAACTACAATCATTAGTAACCAACACAACAATCAAATCCATTGATAAATCATTTAATAAAGTCCATTTCAATATTCAAAGTCTCAAAAAAGATCTGTAGAAATGAACATCTAAACAAATCACCATGGATATCTGCTGTCATTATTTCAGTATATCTTTTAAATCCGATGTCACATGGCATTAGAAATTCACCAGTGAAAAGTCAAATTCTGTCACATGGCAATGTAAAACAATAATTCAAAATAAGCTCTCTCGTCATTGTGACAGAGTAATCTGTGAATCAAATAATAATTGCTGGTGTCAAATGATTCCATGACCATATATCAATCAAAGTAACTTTCTCATGTCACATGAACATGAATAACCAATCAGATACAATGTAACATGAAAGGATGAATGGTAACTACTTAATAACATGCTATCACAGACACAAATTACACCAGAACTCTCCCACAATACAGGTGTGCCTTCTCCTGCTGGTCAACCAACAACCAGAACACAGGAGTAAGGCTGTCGGGTCAGTCACTCTGTACAAATACACCGGTCAGTAAATAACAAGTACAACTTTTAACAGCGTTGTACAACAAGTAACACATTTTGTAGTGCAACATATAATTGCACAAACAAACAAAAAAGCGTCTGTGTGCTTTCTATTCAACTTGTTGTACAATATACACCTTTGTTGTACAATATACACCTTTGTTGCTATAGATCAACTTATTCTTTTATAAAGTTAATCTTTAACAATATCAAACAGCCTGGAAAAGCCTGGGAGAAGGGAGTCAACTCCAAAACAATCATCACGTCAGGGTAGATAGCTCCACAGGGTTGCTATGGGTTCCCTAGATTTCTCTATGAAATCCAGCACGTAGATTCTAAGGCTACAACACTGACAGTAATTGCCTCTTGACTGATTTAGTATTACAAAGCACCACCAGGGGGCATCACCACTACTGCCATAAAGCTCTACCATCATGCCACAAAACGCCGACCTGCAGCTGATTGTAACAAGTGAATGTCCGCTTCATGACAGCTTGTCAAGAAGGTCGTCGTCAAGGCAACACATCAACCAATGGTATTGGACCACATGTAATGGGTTATAGGAGCATATGACAGACTGTTATGATTGTTCCTCTTCCATTGGTTCAGACTCTTGTTCTGCTGAATCACTGGAGATAAAGTAAGGTTGAATTGTTGTGTTAATTTTTTTAACAAATAGAAAATATGATTTTTCTGAGAAAATGTGATACTACTGCTACATGTAACTCTGACCAGATTTTCAGAAGGAAAAATGAAGTTATTAATATAGACAATCAGTAAGTTCAATAGACAAAAATCTTACTTCATTCATTTCATGGTCTTGTGACCTATACTAATGCATTAAACATACTGAAGTGTGATTTCATAATCATTCCTATCATAAACATATCAATAAATAAAGGGATGAAAGAGCTAAACATTTGTTTTACACAAAAATTAAGTGAGAGTTACCTTCTCTTTGCTGCAACCATTGACAATGATGCAAGTGCTGTGACTGTGTCTGCTTCTTCCACATCCTGTTTTTGTGCTTCAACCAGGGAGCACTGAACCGTGGCCAGGTGGCGCTCCACACAAGCCCAATGTTTAGCTGCATTGAATTAGAGAAATAGAAAATTGTTAATGAAATGTTAGAAACGTTTTTCTCGCTTTTGACTTAAAGTGGACAGATATGTAAAACAACTAATAAATATGCCTGTATGAATGAAACAATTAATAAATAAAATCACTTGAACTTTTGTTGTTGTTTGATAATAAGTTTAAATCAAACGCAAAATATAAACCTGCAAATTTGTTGTCCTTCCCATATGAGAAAGAGCAAGGACTTTTTGTTATTGATGATGTAGCATGAAATTTATGCCCATCAAATGAAACAAATGACCTAAATTTTGATCAGTAGGTGCCCTTTACATGGAGCTGCACATGTTTCCTAACATCTACTCAGAATATCTGTAAGGTTAGGTGTTTTCCTTTTCAAAAACAAATCTTTACTTCTGAGATATAAGAATGTTCTATAAGAGAAACTAAAACTTTTAAGATGCTGAAAAGAAAAATTAACTGGATGGGGAAATCCTTTTAGGATATTTATAATGTTCCATTAAGTTGGGGATGACATGGTTAACAGTCTTATGACTGGTAGTAGAACTCAAACCTTGTATCTTGATAACTTCCTCTAACGTTTCAAGGGCAGATTGGCATGGCGACCTTTGTAACTCCTCCTCTTTCAATGGTGGTAGCTGTCAATCAAATAAAAACGAAAATTTTGTTAATTTATTTTCATAGCACACATAGTATATCTGTCCATACTCTTTGAAATCTTGGTAAATAAATAGCATGTTTGCTGCCATTCATTACTTTGAAGTCTGTCACAGTATACACACAGATGGATTTTTTTTTTATTAAAGCCTCTACTTTCATTCATGGAGGAAGAATAACCCCAAATATCCGCATTCGGTAAAGAATATAATTTTAGTAATATTAGTATGATAAATGGTATTGCATAAAACTTGCCATAACTATAAGCAAAATGCTGTCACTGACAAATGAATTTGCATTAGGGCCAGGAGTATTTTAACAAGAGGCCCATGGGCCTTAACGATCACCTGAGTTCTGATATATTTATACAGAGAGTTGATTTTTGTTTTTAAAACATGAACAGAAATATTATTCAAAGTGACAAAAAAAAAGGAGGCCCAAAGGGCCTGTATCGCTCACCTGAATATGTTTAAAATAATAAGTATGAAGTAATGATGTAGCACTCCATGGTAGGTGCTGTAAGTACATATGAAATTTCAGAAAGATCCATCCAGTACTTGAGATATGGCGAGAACAAACTTCAAACAGAGCCCCAACCCTATGCCCCTAGGGGGTCATACCCACCAATCATACAGAATTGTGTCCCCTTGGCCCAAGGATACTTCAGACTAAATCCCGATGGTCGCAGAAGGATTTTATAGGTTTACCTCTATTTCTCCTATTGCAGGGCCCGTCCTTCTGCCCCCTGAGAAACCACACCCACTGCTTATACAAAGTTGAGTCCCCTTGGCCCAAGGATGCTCCAGACAAAATTAGAATAAAGTCCCTTAATCCCTATAGTAGAAGAAGGATTTTAAGGGCCCTAGGGGGGCCAGACCCACAGTTTATACAAAATTGGTTCCCCTTCACCCGAGGATACTTCAGACCAAATATAGAACAAATCCTTTCATTCCTAGAAAAGAAGAAGGATTTTAAAGAATTTGTTATATTTCCCCTATTCGGCCCCTAGCCCCCAGGGGTGCCAGACCCACCATTTATACAAAATGTGTTCCCCTTCCCCAAAGGATGCTTCACAACAAATATGGAACAAATCCTTTCATTCCTAAAGAAGAAGAAGGATTTTAAATAATTTGCTATATTTCCCCTATTTGGCCCCTCCCCTCAGGCCCATGCGGGGGCCAGACCCACAGTTTATACAAAATTGGTTCCCCTTCACCCAAGAATGCTTCAGATCAAATATGGAACAACTTCTTTCATTCCTAAAGAAGAAGAAGGATTTTAAATAATTTGCTATATTCCCCCAATTGGGCCCCTCCCCTCAGGCCCATGCGGGCGCCAGACCCACAGTTTATACAAACTTGGTTCCCCTTCACCCACGGATGCTTCAGACCAAATATGGAACAAATCCTTTCATTCCTACAGAAGAAGAAGGATTTTAAAGAATTTGCTATATTTCCCCTATTTGGTCCCCATCTAGTCCCCTTGGCCTAAGAATGCTTTTTAGTCAAAATCTACTTGGCCGTTTTAAAGGAAATGTTCACGGATGGACTGACGGACTGCTGCGGTATGGCTTAAGCTCACCATGGTCCTTCGGACCAGGTGAGCTAATAAAACCACCTTATTCAATATCTAGCATACTGATTTAAGACTGAAAAGTATTTGAAACTAGCACCTCTGATTCTAAACAAGGAAAATGAAGAAATTTTAGCACACTGACTCCTTTGGGTTCAGCCCTTGGGGGTAGGGCTGGCTCAAAAGTATCAAACTGTCAACTCAGGGTTATAATTCCAATCAAGTTATCAACATGTAATATCCAAAGTATCATTTGCCAATACATGTATAAACCATAATAAATGTTTACGGACGGACGACGCACGACAAACGGTGATCGCAATAGGTCACTTGAGACTTTGTCTCAGGTGACTTAACAAGGGGACTAAGGGGAAGATGCATATATTATATAGTGATAACAAAATTGAACTGTAAAATTTAAGATGGATGTCAGGTGGCCTTTTTGGTTTTCCTATCAGTCAAAAAAATCCTTATGCACAACTAGGGACCATGGGGAACATACCCTAATGGAATTTGAGAAAGTTTCCTCCAGTACTTTCTGAGAAATAGTTCTAACAGTCTAACAATCAATAAAAGGACAAGATAGCCATTGTATCGCCTACCTTGATAACCAAGCACCACAGGAAACAATTCTCATTAAATATAAGGCTGCAACTATTTCAAAATATTGGCTGTCTATCAGCAACACCCATCCCTCAATTGGTCCCTTCATTTTGCTCCTTTGAATTGGGGTAAAAAAAAAATCTGCCCCCTTGAATTGGGGTGGATTTTAAACATTTACTACAATTTCCCCTGTTGCGCTCCATGCACCCTCAATTTATACAAAATCGAATCCCCTTTGCCTATGGATGCTCTGGACCAAATTAATATAAAATCCCTCCTAAAAGAGAAGGGTTTTAAACATTCATTACTATGCTCCCCAATCGGTCTCTGCCCCCAGGGATGGCCACTCCCTATGTTTATTCAAAATTGAGTCCCCTTTGCCCAAATATGATCCAGGCTAAATGTGGTCTAAATCCACTGAGCCATTTTAAAGGAAAAGATGACGGACGGACGACGGATGCTGTGCTACAGCATAAGCTCACTTGCCCTTTGGCCAGGTGAGCTAAAAATCAAGGTGGCCACTTGTCAGCTATCTTGGTTTTCTGATCAGTCCCAAAAATAACAAGAGATCCCAGAGGGATCTTGGCGCCCACCTTTGGTAGCAGTATACAGTAGAGGGCTGTGGCTATGGGTGATATTTTTGTTAAATGGCTAACCCCTGTATAATGATAAGTAAAACAAGAGGCCCATGGGCCTTAACGGTCACCTGATATATTTAAACAGAGAGTTGATTTTGTTTTTAACATGAACAGAAATATTATTCAAAGTGACAAAAAACAATAAAACCACCTTATTCAATATCTAGCATACAGATTTAAGACTAAAAAGTATTTGAAACTAGCACCTCTGATTCTAAACAAGGAAAATGAAGAAATTTTAGCACACTGACTCCTTTGGGCCCCACCCTACAGCCCTTGGGGGTAGGGCTGGCTCAAAATTTTCAAAGTATCAAACTGTCAACTCAAGGTTATAATTCCAATCAAGTTATTAACATGTAATATTCAAAGTATCATTTGCCATTATAAAC